GTTGGCTCCGTGGGTGTTGAATAAACATAAATGTGCCTGAGCGAGAGTCTGCAGCAGGGATTGGTTAGCGTCCCTAATAGATGGGTATCCTCGAATACGAGTGACCAACTATGATATATATATATATATATATATATATATATTCCTATTTATCCACTTTTGCCATTTTTTCCTATTTATCCACTTTTGCCATTTTTACCGTTGCCATTTTTTCGCTGCCATTTTTACCGATCACCATATATATATATATATATATATATATATATATATATATATATATAGGTGCCTCCGAAGATTCATTAAAAAATAAGCATATATGATGAAAAAAATCCTCCAAACTTAATAAAAACAAAGTTTTATCGTCAACATCTTTATGTTATCATTAAGGGGAAAATCCAAAGGATTTTTTGTTATTAAATTATATATTCTAATTCTTTTTACAACCTTCAGGACTTATTTACAGATGAATTCAATTATTTAGTAATGTTTGCATTTTGGAAAATTTTGGTAAAAAAATATCTGTTAACCACTATGTATTTGCTTATATGAAATTTTGCGAAATTCTTTTTTGCAGGGTTTAATGTTTATATTAGATATAAAGATATATCCTGGGAGGATTTAAATCATCAATTTTTTGTCAAACTGGATCTCAAGTTACGGAAGATCTGCTCTGAATCGTAAAATAAAAAATACGATGAAACTAATGCATTATTTAATTTGAAAAGCTTTTAGCAAATATATTATGGACACTGATTTTTTTCGATGAATAATGAATTTTTACAGGCTATTGTTTTAATTTGTTAAATTTTGATTAAAATAATTTATATAGTTTTAAATTTTGTAAAATTCTGTGTTAATTTGTAGCGGATAAGTGATATTTTTTTAAATAAAACCTATATTTACTAATCATAAATGAAAAAGCTTACTAGAATTCACTGAGCCCCAGTATTTTAAAAAAAGAAATTTGATTTGTGTGCGTGTGTACGTATAAACATAAGAATGCCCATACACGACATTATCAAACAACAAGAGCAATAACTATAGTAAATTTAAAATCTATTCGTAATTTTCTAATCAAGAGTCTTAAGAATATAAAGACAAAGTACCTAAAATTGAATAAAATATTAGATTATTTAGATTATTAGTTTGGGCCTTTTTTCATCATGTATGCTCATATTTTAGCGAATCTTTGAAGGTACACCTACTTATATACATATTCTTTATTTTTCTCGAACGCTCGATGCCGCCATCTTTAATACGAGTATTTGAGTGTATAGACTTGTATTTTATTAATATTAACATGAGAACCAGATGTTATCTTGAAATCTGTGAAATTGACTCTTGGCTTGTTTGAAATAAATAAAAATTTATCTATTTCCAGTAAAGCTCAAGAAGTTTTTATCCTATTTTACAAGAATTTCTTTTGGGAACCTAAGTCTGCCCATATCCTTTTCTATCGAGTTTTATTTTTGTTAGAGTCTTCGCACTCGCATGCCAAGAAAGTAAGCAAAAAAATAAAAATCTTACTTATTATAAAACGCAGATTGTGTTTGTTTGTGTGTGTGTGTGTGTGTGTGTGTGTGTGTGTGTGTGTGTGTGTGTGTGTGTGCGCGCGCGTGCGCGTTTATATATTGGATCGGATTTCCGACATTTTTCAACCGATTTCAACAAACCTTCACAGGACTGCGTAAAATTACCTTGCGGTGGTTCTGACAGCGCCAAAAATTGGAAAAACACAATTGTTTTTGAACGAAATCAATTTGAAAACACGATTCTATCGCCAGAATGAAAAGGGGACAACTCATATTGAGTTATACTTATTATAAATCCCAAGTTGTTTGTGTGTATGTGTGTTTGTTTATATATGGGATCGGATTTCTTACATTTTTCAACAGATTTCAACAAAACTTCACTTTTTTTTGGCAGGTAGTGTTTCTAACTGTCTTGCACACTTTTTACTTTATTTTTACATTTAGAATGCTTTAAAAATTCCATTTACAAGACAATTGTTTATAATAAAATTCTATTCAATCGATAGACTCATAACGATTGAAAACAATGTTTTTGTTTGAGTTTGGATTTGACCAATTCATAAAAAACAAAAAAACAAAATAAAACAACAAAAAAAAAACTAATTAAGACATGCGTGTCCGTCAACCTTAAACAATAATCTTTGTCAATTTTATTTTTCAGTCTTTATGATGGTCGATACTTGATCTATCTCTTACTGTTACATCCCCGAGTAACACCGGGCTCTACTGCTAGTAATAAAATAAAATAAAAGTATGTGAGAGCGCATATTATTCTCCCAAACAATGGCAGCATGTGTCTGCTGCGTTCATTGTTAGTTTTGACAGGTGCAGTGCTATTCTTCCTTCACACGTCTGCTGGATTAAGTCAGATTTGGGATATCGACAACGTTCTCCACTTGCCTTAGGAGGAACACATTCAGTAGCAATGGTTTGTGAAGCGAACAAATGTTTCAAGTTAATGCTTAATCCAGTTAGCATTGTGTTGTTCACAGAAAGATTTTTCAACATTTACTACAGTTTCGTATTTAAAATAAAAACAAAATTGTGTCTATTTTGGCACCTCATTTTTCCGTTTCAGAGATACCGCCACCACTACAAAAATTTATTTTTTTAGTCGTGTTTCGGTTTCTAAAGTTAAATTTAGATCCACAGTTTATCTTCTTTTTTGTTTTTCTATGTAAATAAGTCATTCTTACACATGCGCAGATGATAGATTATTTGCGTAACGTAATACTAGCGGGACCTCAGTAATTATTTCACCAGGGGGATCGGGCCGACGCCACAAAATGAAAAATATTCATTCGCACTTGAACATATGACAAGGCAGGAGTCAACTAATGTTATAATTGGTTAATGGTTTTAAGTTTATTGTATAAATATCCATGTTAAGTAAAATATTAAAATATAATATCCAGTTAACAATTTTAAGTTTGAAACTAATAAGAACGTTTTGAAAAAAATAAAAATCTTAATAGAACAAAATGCGCCTCTAAACGCCTTCAACATGTCCCACGTGTGGACTTGTTTGCAAACGCCAGGAGAGTTCATTATATATATATATATATATATATATATATATATATATATATATATATATATATATATATATATATTATATATATATATTCATACAAAAACAAATACAAAGGTTAATGATTTAAATTGGCGTGAAATCCATCGTCGCAAACAATTCAAATAATATACAAAAAACCTGACCTGTTTATGAATGAAAAAATCCTTGTTTCTATAAATTTCTGTTGCATGAGTTCTTATTATTTTTACAAGCTTTCGTCTGTTCTTACAGACATCCTCAGGTATGGAATAGATTTTGTTCTTGTTTTTTCTCTCATAATAAGAGGACAACGAAAATATATGTATTGTTGTAATCCGAAAAATGCTATTAGAAATGAGTTATTGTTTTTGGAGCGTGCTGTCGCAACGCTGAGTTTGATTTTAAATTTTACAATTGTGCGTTCTTATACAAATATGGTGATAAGTGAATTCTTTTTTACTGGTAAATTTTCTGTCAAAGTGGCATGAACTTTATTGTTCAATAATTACTGTAATGTCGCATTTATTATCCAAAAGTTGCATTTGGATCAGTTATTTTAATTTCAATAAAGGTGCAATTAATTTACAAATTCATGAATTATTCATACAAAAAACAAATACAAATATATATATATATTGTGTATATTTAGGCAGCAATTTTTTAATTGATGCATGTTTCATTAAATAATATAGACAAGTTTTGTCTATTTATTTTAAGTAAGTTCCTTTCATATTGTCTGATAAGCTTAATAACATTAACATTGAAGGACGAAAGGAAATCACCATATTGATACATGTTTAAATCCAATCTAAGCTTTCGGATTACATAAGCCATTATCAAAGATGACAATTACATTTCACTATATCAACCAATGTACGGACGAAACAATAATGATAGTCTGTTTTTGTTGCTTGAAAAATTTCAAAGCAACCTAACCTGAACAAAATAAATTACGAAATCTTCACAAATATTCTTAAATGCCTATAACTGATAACAGATGCCATTGGTTTATACCAACGGCTTCCCATACTTAATACTTCCGTTTTCTCTCTCGCGTGGTCAAGTGTGACGTCACGAGCTGCGACGCGATTTTCGCTTACGCGTCTCGTATACACGAGTTTGTCGTTGCTTTGAAAGTATTTAAACATGCATCAATAATATATATATAGGGCCGTTCTGGAGTGGGGATTTGGAGGCTAAGCCCACCCTTCCCCATATTTTTTAAATACCTGAAAATCGTGGCGTCTAGAAAAAAAACCCCACTACAACAATACCAGCGCCGTACTTGAAGAAGGGGGCTTAGCGGGCTAGGCCTCCTTCCCTAATATTTTTTTAAAGTACTATTAACTATGGGGGGTCAAGATAAAATCACACAACAATATCAAGACCGTACTTTTATAAAGAGGGCTATCCACCCCCCTCGTTGAAATAAATATTAACTAAAAAATTATCATGGGTTCCAGTTCAAATAAAACCCCACTGCAGCAATACCAGGGATGTACTTTCTGGATGGGGGGTGGGGTTACGGAGCTAAGCCCCACTCCAATATTTTTAAATAAATATTTTTTTAGATAAGAATTTATTTAATTACTATACTCTATTGTTTTTAAGCAAATAAAATCGATTTATCTATGTTAAGGTTAATGTATCGGGAAATGTTCTTTCATTTTCCCTCATAAAATGTTACTTTTGATTCAAAATTTTCTTTTAGTTGGCCCAAATCAAGATTTGAACGAAGCATTGTCTGTCTTAAGAAACTTTGACTGAAAGCCAACAAAAGTTCTTTGTTTTAAAAGAAATTTTAATTTTGTTTTCACTTCATACTATTTAACTTTTCTCCAAGCAGAGTTTGACATAAATTGTCTTCTGAGAAATCGAAGAAATTTTTGTGGGTTCATAAGGTTGAATCTATTGGTATGTATTGTCTTCTTTTTGGTGATTTTTAAAGTGTCACATTTTCGTTTCTTGACGGACGTTGTGTCGGGGTTTAGATCTCTAACTACCGGACGCTTACTTTTGCTTCAGTCTTCTTCACGGATCGATCTCGCTATTTGCCCAAGTGAAGCAGTTTTTTTCACACACTCTCTCTCTCTCCCTCCCCTCTCTCTCTCTCTCATTCCGATTCTTTCGATATTACAACCCAGTTGTTCTCTCTCTGACTCTTTTTAACGACCACTCCCTCTGTACTTACCTCAGTTTTACTCTCTCTGTCTCTCGCTTCGTATCTCATAGTTTATGCAATTTCTTTACCGCCAACTGTTCATATCTATCTATCTATCTATCTATCTATATATATATATATATATATATATATATATATCGCAGTCCGTTCATTTCTATCTATCTATCTATCTATCTATCTATCTATCTATCTATCTATCTATCTATCTATCTATCGCAATCCGTTCATATCTATCTATCTCATTTCGTTCATATCTATCTTCGTTCATATCTCTCTCTCTCTCTCTCTATATATATATATATATATATATATATATATATATATATATATATATATATATGTTTCGTAGTCCGTTCATATCTATCTATCTATCTATCTATCTATCTATCTATCTATCTATCTCATAGCAAAATCTCTTGCCAACGTGACCAGTTAAGAAAACGCTCGTATCTCGGCAACGAAAAATATTTACGACTTTGTGTACATAACATTTCTTATCATGGAGTAACTGACTGGATGGCTGCCCATTTGAAGTCCATCTATTGACTGATGCCCTTGAGGTCAACTTTTATCAAGGACTGAGAGAAGAGAGTTATTAAAAAACCTCTTAGTTCCAATAAAACACGGCCTTGTCTTTTGAAGCTAACAAAAAAGAAGAAAAAGAAAATATAAACAGCATTTCTTCGACTCTGATAAGTTCTAAATTAGGGCTGGGCGGCGGATGGGGTCTTGATGAAGTTGAGGTGTGGGGGGAGGAGGGGTAGACTTAAAAATAATACTGGGCCTGTTATTTATTAGCCTCCTCATCAGGGCAAATACGACACAAGTCAAAAGTTCAAATTTCCTCGGAGGCGCGACTGCTTTTATTTCCGATTCACGTTGCTGACTTAGAATTGTAGAATATAAAAACGATCTGATTTCTGCGGTAAAAAAAAGGCAAATAAAATTAAGATAAAGAAAGTTTAATGACAATTCATCATCTAATAAATTAGATTAGAGCAATTCAAATTTAGCTGAATATGGCTCAAGATAAAATTTAAAGAAATGAAGGATGAAGATCGTGTTACGCCAATTTTCTTTTGTAAGCATGGTGACAATGACGTTCTGTTATTATTATTATTATTACAAATAGAAATAAAATAATAATAATAATAATAATAATAAATGTTAGTAATTCGTTATTAAAGACCACAAACAAAAACGGTGCCTCCTTATTGATATGGCAGTCCCTGCAGACTGCAATGTATCTTTGGAGATATTCAAAAAGCTGTCAAAATACAAGGACATCGAAATAGAAATCTCGAAAATGTGGCATATGGGAACATCAACAATCCCTGTTGTATTTGGAGCCCTAGGACTGATTGGAAAAGATTGTAGTAGACTAATTGAAGGGATTCCTGGAAGTCCATGCCTCAAAGAGATACAAAAAATTGTTCTGACAAGTACAGCCCACACTTTACGAAGGACTTTATCTATGTAATAAGTTTTTTTTTTTTTGTCAGTGGAAAGTGTCATAATGCCATTTGTAACCTTACGTCCCTGGGCTGGACCCGGAAAGAAATGTGTAAACGCCAGAAATCAAAGAAAATAAAGATAATAATAATAATAATAATAATAATAATAATAATAATAATGAAAATTATAAATAAAATAAAACAATAACATAAAAACATTCTGTAAAATAAATTAAATAAAGAAAAAAATAATAAAATTCCTCCCAGCATGCACACAATCTGTTCCTACGGGAAATACGGACATCCCGCCAAAAAGACGTTAAATTAAATCTCTTCGCCACGAACCTTGGTACGGGCAGCACGTGTCCTACTTCTATGGCGTGTAATACTACGGAGTAAAATCCTCCCTTTTATAACATGTACTATAAAACAATTGTAACCTAAAAAAATACACACAAAAATGTAAGTAAATCGTATGAAATTAACATACAATTTACCATGCTTTTCCTGTTATTTGTATACTTTTTCAGTCAGGTATGCTTTTATCTCCGTGAATACGAAGCTAATTTCTGCTGCTATGATGTGAATGAACCCCCACAACACTTTGATGACCACCGACGTGTGTAAGAAAAACAGCCTACTCACCCACAATGTTAATGCAGTTAAATGAAATAATCTTCTTAGGCTTGGCTGAGTTATGTAGTTCTTACCGGTGCCTAAAATTCAGCTCAGGTTAAATTCAGGTGTCTTTTGTCTAAAGATTACCGACGTTTTTTGCACCGGCGACACCCTTTTTGCAAATAAAGCATACCAGTCAAGTCTCGTCAGGCAAAACATATAATATTCAAAATTCAAAATATATATGAAAAGAAATAATTCAATAAAAAGTTTTAATTGATAATTAATCAACGAGCACTTAATTAACCGAAAGTTCGAAACTGCATAAAAAGATGCTATTCATTTCAAGCTTCTGTGGTGAATGATATTTTATTTAATGTGTAATGTTTATTTTGTATAATAATAACTTCTAGAATTTTAAGTTTTTCCTTGCCTTGAGGGCTGTAGAGTATTTTGATGCTATCTACTAATATTTGTCTTATGTTGATAATTGTACTTTGGTCGTCTATGATGTGCTGGTCGAAAGATGAAATGAATGCATTGAGGTTCGACAGATGATAGGTCAATCTGCGAGATAGTGTGGTGCATGTGTGCCCAATGTAAGTATTTAATGTTTTTTGACACCACAGAAAAAGGTATCGTGAAGTACATATGATATAATTAATGTGCATACATATTGTATCAGTATGATAATAATAAAAAAATAAAGATTTAAATTAAATTAATAAATAAATCGTATTCTTTTTTTTGCGTGGCCATGTTCCCAATAACCGTTAAGACATCACGTCACGTTAGTTCGTTTCAAAAGTTCAGCTTCCCAAAAAATACAAGGATTCAGACAAAAGAATTACTAAACAAACATCATATCGGTTCTTGATAATGAGCGCAAACGTCGTGAATAACAAAATATACACTTTGGCAGTTTATCCATAACGTCGAGCACTACCTAACAACTTATGCGAAAATCTAAAAAAAAAACAATTAAAAAATGCAACAGATCTTGTCGGTTGTTTCTAATCAAATTCGTATACACACACACATTTATATATATATATATATATATATATATATATATATATATATATATATATATATATAGCAGAAGCTTAACTGAACGAGTGTTGACAGTCTGTTTCAGGACTGACCTGAAGATTGTGTTCAAGCATGAAAGAGACTATTATAATTCGGTGTTGATCTCAGTGTCCACTTTTATATTTAACTACGCTCTATCTCGGGCATTGAACACTTTTTAACCATTGACTATATATATATATATATATATATATATATATATATATATATATTCTTTTTATAGATACAAATATTTAAGTAAATGCTCTGTTTATAATAAACAGTATTAATAACATTTATCGGCCTGAATGTCCGAGAAATTTTCATAGAAAATATTCGTCCTCCGACAGGAATCGAACCTGTATCTTATACGGAACCGACATATAGCCTAACGTATTTTTACCGATTGAGCCACAAAGGATCGTTCGGTTAGAAAGGTCGATTTTACTGCTTTTAAACTACAATCTTCGATGATTCTCTCACGTATATTCATATCGGCTCAATGCGTATCCAAATGTAAACAAATGAAGTCACACATTATGAAATGGACAAAGTCCGACAATTATTTAAAGACATTTTTATGTTTATAGATTCTTTTTTATACATACAAATATTTAAGTAAATGCTCTGTTTATAATAAACAATATTAAACAACATTTACTGGCCTCAATGTCCGAGAAATTTTCATAGAAAATATTCGTCCTCCGAAAGCAGTTAAATCGATCTTGCTAACCGAACGATCCTCTGTGGCTCAATCGCTAAAAATACGTCAGATTATATAACGGTTCCGTATAAGATACAGGTTCGATCCTGTCGGAAGACGAATATTTTCTATGAAAATTTCTCGGACATTCAGGCCGGTAAATGTTATAAATACTGTTTATTATAAACGGAGAATTTACTTAAATATTTGTATCTATAAAAAGAATGTATAAACATAAAAATGTCTTAAAATAATTGTCGGACTTTGTCCATTTCATAATATATATATATATATATATATATGGAAAAGTTAAAAAATTAAAGAGAGAATTTCATAAGGAATGAAAAGAATATGTGAATGCAAACCAGAACGAATTAAATGAAGCCACACAGAGACATATTATAGCCAGACACATGAAAGAAAGACGCTTTGCCAGACTGTAAGAAGACGCTGTTGAGCTTAACTCATAAAGGCTATTTTAATCGCTTAGATTTTCTCAAGTACTAAAGATTAATGCCGCCCATTTATGGACAGAGGCACTCAAAGAACGGTTTTGCTGTCTCTCTCGTCACGACTTGCTTTTTTTTTATTTCGATTGCCTAATGTAATTCTCTTAGTTTATGTCTTATCTTTATTCATTTTTTGTTTCTTGATTTATTCTTTTTTTCTTGTCTTTCCTCGCTAGTAAATGGATGAGCGACGGTTTGCTTATGTTTCGATAGGAAGTCGCTTTTAGATCTTAGTTTCTTTTCTTCTTAACTATTCCTAAATAATGGCATTTATATTCTCTTCAAGACAACCCAACTCCTTCACCACATATTCTCCATATTCTTCCATATAAAAGTCAGTTTTCTTTCTTCTTTTGAGCTACTTGTGCACACCTACATATGTCATCATCATCATCATCAGCAGCAGCAGCAGCAGCAATCATTTCTCGTCCACTGCAGGACAAAGGCTTTTCCTGAATTCTTCTAGAATCATTATGACTATGTTATTTTCTATTATGTCTTACCAGCAAATTCCCTCTCTCTCATATAATCAACTCCAATCTATTTGTTTATTACGTTATGCTTTTTTTTTTTTTTTTTTTTTTTGGGGGGATTTTTTTTGTTTTTTGGGATGCATAGGGGGCTAGGCCCCCTTACCTAATATTTAAAAAAAATATTATTAACTATGGGGGTCTAGATAAAAACCCACTCCAACAATACTACTGTCGTGCTTTTGGGAAGGGGTTAGACCACCCCCCACCACAGACGATACGTTTAAATAAGTATTATCTAAAAATAACACGGGTGCCAGTCTAGATAAAACCCCACTATAACAAAACCAGGGCCGTACTTTCTGTATGAGGGCGTTATGGGGTCTAAGCCCCACTCCAATATTTTTAAATAAATATTTTTTTAAATAAATAGTGAATTACTATACTCTATTGTTTTCAAGCAAATAAATTCGATTTATCTAAATTAAAGTTAAGTTCTATCTTGCATAATTACTCTCCAAGGTCAATAGAAGAATCGTGATGAATTCGATCATAAACGAAAATAGAATATTCATTATTAATTAATCATTGTTAAAGATTGGAAGATCAGGAAGTATTGAAATTAAGATCATATATATATATATATATATATATATATATATATATATATATATATATGTGTGTGTGTGTGTGTGTGTGTTTCATTCAAAACAACAGATAAGGTACTACAGTTAAGCTTTTTATTTCATTTTTCTTGTGTTCGAACAAGAGCTTTCTTTTCTGGACAAAGAGTGTGTACATTATGAGTATGTTTTAGTGTGTTGTAGAGATATTTTTAATTTCTGAATACGGTCAGCACATTGTGGCCTTGTTCGTAGTTAATATTGTTAAGAGCTGGCTTTTTCTTTTTATTATTAAAACTTCCATTCGTTTTTATCTTTTTTTTTACAGGTGGATGCAGTTATTATATTTGTGTTTTCTACTAGTATGTTTCTAATGGAGTCTGGTAAGTTTGTGTGTTTAAATGGGTTCTAATGGAGCTTTGATCAGATAGGTGTAACGTAAGACGTCTGGATAAGCATGTGGTTGTGTAACCGATGCAATTATTTATGAGTCCGGTTTGATCAGGAACACACTTCCTTAAGGGACATTTGAACTCATAGATAATGTTCGTTCTTTGTAATTTTGACTTAGCTGGTGTGTTGTTATTTTGAAAATAAGGTTAGCTGTCTTAAATTTTTTATAATAGATAATTAATTTGATTTTTTTATTTGGGTCAATTGGGGTAGTGTATGTCTTTATAATATGTATTAGTGAAGATTCGTCTTGTTTGTAATTAAGGTGCATTTGGTTTTTGTAATAAATGTGTATGTAATTTTTGACTGTGTGTTCACTATCGTTATTACTTACGTTGGGGAGAAATAGTCTAATTTGGTGGTCTATAAGGTGGTTAGTGAAGCCGTTGTTGATTAGTGTTTGTTTAACGTTATTAAGTTCTTTGAGGAAGAGTAGTCGAGAGGAGGAATTCTGCTGTGCTCTTTTTAGGAAGTTTTTTTTATTACTGCTATTTTGTACCTGAGTGGGCATTCGCTTTTAAAGTTAGGGTGGCACGAGTTTTTGATAGTGGGTTTTTATATAATGATGTGATGAAAGTGTTATTGCAATATTCTACGAGAACATCTAAAACTGGGAGTTTGTTTTTTTGACTAAGTTCATAGGTAAAGTTAAAAACGGAGGTTTTTCTCAAATGTGGTCTAAAGTGTATGTATTTCTTTAAAGTGCTAAAGTAAAAAATATCATCTGCGTAGCGAACATATATTTTCGGTTTATGGACCTGTGTAAATATCGTATTTTCTACATGGGATATGTAATAGTTGAAAAAGCATGGACCAAGTGGATTTCCCATACTAACACCATTAGTTTGGGTGTAAATGTTGCCATTATGGTAATAGAATGGAACTTTGGTTCTGCCCGTGTGTAGCAATTTTTTTTAGTGTGGATGGTTTGATGGATGGCGGAGGGATAGAATTATTACTATAGACAGAAATGAGGATAATGTCAATAGTTTGGTTGACGGGGACGTTTGTAAATAAGTTTTCGACGTCAAGTGACGCTATTATACCTTGGCTTGGTTTAGTAGAAAACAGAAACATAATAACCTCATCCATGTGTAAAAAAAGACTGAAAATAATGGAAGTTTTAATAATAAAAAAGAAAAAGCCAACTCTTAACAATATTAACTACGAACAAGGTCACAATGTGCTAACCGTATTCGGAAATTAAAACATACCTGCAACACACTAAAACACACATAATGCACACACTTAATTAAGCTGAAAAATCGAATCATCCTTGATAATGGCTAAAGGTATAGCCGAAAGCGCTCAGAACTATAAAACATTTGAAAAGTTTTTACACACTCTTTGTCCAGAAAAGAAAGCTCTTGTTCGAACACAAGAAAAAATAAATAAAAGGCTTAACCGTAGTACCTTGTCTGTCGTTTTTAAGGAAACAGGCATAAACGAAGGATTGCTGCCTAAATATACAACTATCATATATATATATATATATATATATATGTGTGTGTGTGTGTGTGTGTGTGTATTTTCAATTTTTTTTCACTGCTATTTGGACTGTCATAGCTGAAACTCTTCTCTCACGTTCCAACGTTGTGACCACCTGATCCTGTTTTCCTTTCTACTGTCCTTCTCTTTTAAACTTATTCACCGTTCTCTTAATAGTTCTTGAATGGACATTGAAGAAGAAAACAAGAGTATGAAGGTTGATGCTAATACTGAAGGTATGAATAATCTTTTTCCTCTCACCATTGCACAGTTGGTAAGGCAGAGGATCTGACATAAAACAATTTTAACCTGATCTCTTTTTAGCTGAATAACTGAAAGGCTTTTTCTGTGATTCTTATGAGAAACGGTGTCAAGATGACTAAGCGTCATATATGAAAACGTGGAAAAAAGTGTTTTTTTTTAAATATTAAACATTATGTGAGATGTACAATTATGCTGTTACACAATTTGGGCAATCTATTTATTTTAGTTTTAATCCTTTCGAGTCCACGAATTAATTTCTTGGTGGCCGTAAAAAATTGATTGAGAAAAATTTTCTTTCAAATAATTTTTATTCTCCCAAGTACTTACAGTCTCATCTGAGACCATCTTCATGGAGTTCACTTTTTTGTTGATGTGTGTACGTAGTTCCGTAAATTCAAAATATTTTCGTCACCTTTTTACTGCGTTTTATCAGGGTTAAATTCAAATTCAAGATAATTTTTCTCTATGCAAGAGCGGTAACTATTTATTATCGTATATATATATATATATATATATATATATATATATATATATATATTTATTATATGAAATTTAAGAACATTTGAACTTTGTTCCTCTACTTATAGTTGATATTATTAATTTTTGGCATTAATTCTCTTATATAAAGGCATCTTGGATTTTAAATTTTTGCTTATTATTATTTTGATGGAGTATTGATGTATTTTCAACATATCTGTCTAAATTGTGAATGTGGACATATGTATTCCTTCAAAAGCTCTAAGATTGAACTATGTTCATCCAAGTGAAATGTAAGCCTTCTCGTCAGCATCGCTGTTGTAACACCAACATACGTATTAACATTTTTTCAAAGATGCTCTCTATCTCTCTCTCTCTCTCTCTATATATATATATATATATATATATATATATATTACGTTCCTACAAGGAATCGTTAAAAGTCAAAATACATGACGAAAAGATGCCTCAAACTTAATGTAAAAATTCTACTTTTTCGAAGCTTCGATATTTTAATGAAAAATCTTGTCTGCCCGGCGTCAACGTTGTAACCTAAATGATTATCGGAATTTTTGTCGTCTTTTCGCGGTGCTAAACACACTGGTTTTGGAAATTCTTGCAAAAATCAGGTAATTGTCGGATTTTAATGAAATTTTTAGGACCTCTTCACAAATGAATGAAATTATTTTGGAAATGCTTCCTGGTCGAGTACATATGTAGAAAAGACCACGTGTGTCTATACAGTGTGTCATCAGTGGATCGCAAAAGCTGGTCAGTGTTTCAATTCTCGGTAGTGGATGCGCACTGCTGATGAGTCCCAAATATAGGACGAAACGGCCGTTCAGTGCTTTCTGCATTCTGTTGAGGTTTCTTTCAGACTCGATGAATTACTATATATATATATATATATATATATATATATATATATATATATATAGATAGATAGATAGATAGATAGATAAGGCCGGCCCTAGGGTTGCTGGCACCTTGGTCAATATGAACTTCGGCACCTTTGCAAACATAATTTTTAAAAATTTTTCCCAAGAAAAAAAAACTGAAAATGTAGACTAACAAGTTTATTACAATATACAACTTAATGCAAGCTAAAGAAAGACATTTTTCTGCAAATCTTTTCATGTCACTTTCTTCACGGATCTTCTTTACAAGATCATTTTCTATTGACAAACAGCCAAAGAATTTAATCTGTCTAGTGACATGGACGACCGCAAGTATGTTTTTATAAGATTTAATTTACTAAAGCTTCTCTCACCGGTGACCACAGACTATCATTATGTCCGCGTTGCTCGTTCATTCATTTTTCTGTTATGGTGTTTGATCACCACAACATGACAGAAAGAATTAATAATCAAATTATCAAAACATTTTACTCCACTTAAGAAATTTAATATTTTGTTTTTATTTCATTTTATTTATTATTTTCAGATTTTTTCCGTTTTGTTTGGAAGATCGCAAACAAATGACATGGTGGCATTATGCTCAAGTTCTCAGTATCTTGATCCAGATCTATATATACATCTTCTGTGTCGTCAATAGCTGTGCTAGCATGAAGCCACAAGTCATCGTGGCCGAGGTCTTGAGCGTGTTGACCTTGTTCAAATTGATAACACGCTCTTAGAGAAACTTTAACTAAGGTCTGCTCAGCATAGTTGCACTATAAACCACAGATGGGCTCTTTGAGTGTTGAGCAAACACAAATGTGCCTGAGTAAGCGTCTGCAATAGGGATTGGCTAAACAGCCAAGTAGACGGTTATCCTCGAATACGAGTGGCCAGTTATAATATATATACAGTGTAACCCGGGTATAAGAGAGTTGTCGGGACCGGAGAAGACGTCTCTTATATCCGGGTTTCTCTTATATCCGGGTTTGGTCTATTTTGTTTAGGTAAGTATGGCTCTAATTTGGGACCAGAGAAAATCTCTCTTATATCCGGGTTTCTCTTATATCGGGGTCTCTTATATCCGGGTTACACTGTATATATATATATATATATATATATATATATATATGTAAATGCACCTATATTTTAAAAAACTTTAGAAAAGTTCAGAATATTCCAGAAAATTAATCTAAATCTAAACGCTCTCTGACACTGGATATATATATATGGTTAAAGAGTCGAAAGATAAAGAAAAAGAATGAAAGAGAATAATGAAAGAGTAAAAGGAAAGAAGAAAATTATGAAAAAAAAAAAAATAACCACTACATCGTACACATATGCTGGCGTACACACGCATGTATCCACGCGCGCACACACACACCTACGCACACAAAGAAGAAAAATCAACCTAACACTAATAAAAAGCGCATGATATTTTAAACTTAATATAAAATGAGGAAAACGAGAGCATTGAAAAATATTTACTGATATCTCCTGACGAGTAGACCGAACAATTGCACAAAGGTTCTTCTACGAAACTCTTGAGTAAAGATGTTGAATATAACATCAATCATCTATGCAACAAATTTTATATTTGTACATTTAGCCTGTATATATATATGGTTGGAACTGTGTAGCGAAAAAAAACCATATTTTAAATCAATTAATTTATAATATTAATGCTCTGTAAATTTACATTGAGCACTATTTTGTAAAATAAAAATATCTATAAGAACACCGGATTTTATATCTTACTGTTCTTTCTTTTTATTTATACATATATATATATATATATATATATATATATATATATATATATATATATATATATGTGTGTGTGTGTGTGTGTGTGTGTGTGTGTGTGTGTGTATATATATATATATATGTGTGTGATTGTGTGTGTATGTGTAGAAATATATATATATATATATATATATATATATATATATATATATATATATATATATATATATATATGGGCATAGAAATCAAAATTACTGTACATGGCGAGTAAACGTTTGTATGCATATATGCATGTATGAACATATAATTTACACAAGGAAGGGCTGTCATCAATTGGATACTTCCAGAAAGGTAACTCCCAAAATATATATATAACTCATCAATACTGACAAGTTCATACTGTGTCATTACAATATATAAAGGAAAGTAGCTATATATATATATATGCATACATGTACACACGCTGTATGAATGCTGCCATAATCTTTGCCTTCAGTTCATCTTTGGTGTTACAAGGATTTTGTTGGTCTTTCACTCACCTGAGCCCCACACATAAAAATCAAGGGGGTTGTACTCACCGGAGTTATGTGGTCAGATGTAAGGGGATGATGTGATCGCAGAAATTGTCTGACACCCAGTTATCCTGCTTATGTGGCTTGCTGCAGAGTCATGTTGCAAGACAGAGGTTCTTCCAGCTGCCACCATCTTGATTCACGGCAACACTGCCTCCTCAAATCACTTGATGTAGGCCTCCGTGTTGATTATGAGACCCTCACCAACAAATTCGTGAGGACTTTTCTTATTAGAACGACCAAGGTGAGTTTTTCGATCTGCCGTACCTTCGTAATCACCATCAGACTCATTCATCTCTTTCCGCATCCTCTGCACTGTCCTCAGATTGACACCCAAACACTTTGAAATGTTAGTATTGGAGCTTCCATCGTGAATGTCAAGCAGTACGAAATTCATTTCTAAATTTCTGGCGGAGTAAATTGCGTCATGGTGATCGTTTTCTCACAGGCGGTGCCCAACTAACCCTGCTTTACTTTGCAGTTGACAAAATCAAACACAAACAACGCGCATGCGCGAATTTCAAAATATAATATGGTGACAAATTGTCTATCGCACCCTTTGTGTGTGTATATATATATATATATATATATATATATATATATATATATATATATATATATATATATATATATACACATGTAGTTATCTGCATATAAAAGCTAGACAATTTCCTTATGGGCAGATAACAGATTGTTACCTTGTTTTATAAGATGTAACGAAATCAGACGCTAAAACTTACCAAAAAGCAAAAGCGAAAGTGATGGGGAGGTAATTTAATATAGTGTTAGAGAGGTATATGCTCGTTCAGCTTCTTACATAACATTTTGTAGTTGATAAATAAAAGGCCCCTTTAAGAAACTAGCAAACAACCGTTTGAAAAAAAATATTTTAATATATGTCATGACACAATTCCGGAAAATCTTTGTTTAAACACAACTATACTTAAATATGAAAGCAATAAACAAAAACTAAAAAATTCTTGAAGCTATATACATAAAACAGTTGAAACCTAACCTGAACAAAATAAACTATGAAATATATTTAAATAATCTTAAATGCCTATAATTGATAACAGAAGCTATTGGCTTATATCTACGGCTTCCCATACTTAATACTTCTCGTTTTCACTCTCACGTGGTCATGTGTGACGTCATGAGCTGCGGTGTGATTCCACGTCTCGTATATACGAGTTTGTCGTTGCTTGGAAATCTTTCATGCAACAAAAACAGACTATCATCACTGTTTTGTCCGTGTATTGCTTAATATATTGTAATGTAACTGTTATCTTTGATAATGGCTTATGTAAGTCGAAAGATTAGATAGGATTAAAAAAATGTATCAATAAAGTGATTTTCTTTCTTCGTTTAATGATAATGTTATTAAGCTTATCAGACGATATGAAAAGAATTCACATAAAATAAATAGACAACACTTGTCTATATTATTTAATGAACACGCATCAATATATATATATATATATATATATATATATATATATATATATATATATATATATATATATATATATATATTAAATTCACCCTGCAAGCAATCCCTTGTACACACACTACACACACGATTGCATGTTGCTTGTTGGTGTTGACTTCAATGTTCTCTTTTATTTTTACATATGCTCTATCACTGATATTGAACTCTTTAACTCATAAATATAGCATACCTTAAAACTATATTTTATGATATATATTTCCCCTCCAAGCAAGGCAATAAAATAGAAGGGATTACTAAGAGTGAAAGTGAATGACAAGACTTTAGTGAGGAGAAATGATGGCAGTAGATGGCAATGGCGATTGGCGTGGCATCAAATTTTACGTAAGTTCCAGTCGAGAAAAGAAACTTTTAGAATAGAATATACGTTTACAACGAACTAGTTCAATAGTAAAACGATGAGACTTAGTTATCAATCTCGTAGTATGTACTCGAGGCTATCAAGGAGGAAAGCTCATCAGAACAGCGGCAATAAAAATATTGAAAAATTTGCAGGAACACAAAACGATACTTTAAAAATATTATAACGATTATTAAGAAAGACAAAAACATTTATCATTTAGGGAATAACAATTTTAATATTATTCTTTAATCTCTAACTCTCTGATACTCTCCCCAAGAGAGATCTCTCTGAGAAATAGAGAGTATATGATTTCGGACATGACTTGTGGGATGACCTCTTAACATGGATCTTTTTAGAATAATTTTGGCATTAATTAGCTGGAAAAAAATCCTTTAGTCTTGGACATTATTTGTAAGTAAAACGGTAGCATCGGCGATTATTTTTTGTTTGGCATATGAAATTGGGAAATTATTCAGTGTGACACTATCAGATTTCGCCCAATATTACATACTGATAGGCAGAAATAAATAGAGAGAGGGAGAGGTTGATTGAAAGTGTGTGTGTGAGAGAGAGTATAAGATAAGAGAGAGAAGATGAGAGAGAGAATGATTGAAAGTAAGATAATAAGAGTGTATAAAATATGAGTGAGAAGATTAGAGAGATAGTTGAAAGAGAAAGTATGATAAGTGAAAGGATAATAGAGAGAGAGAGAAAGAGTGTGTGTGTGTGTGTGTGTGTGTGTGTGTGTGTGTGTGTGTGTGTGTGTGTGTGTGTGTGTGTGAAAGACAAGAGAGGGTGTGAGGGACGAGAGCGGATGAGAAATGAGATAGTGTATAAGAGATAGGGTGAGAGAGAGAATGAGGTGAGAGTGGATGTGAGTAAGAGAGAGAGGGGGGAGGATGAGAGAAATAAGGTGAGAGAGATAGAATGAAAGTTAGACTATGAATAAAGAGAGAGGATGGGAGAAATAGATAAAATGAGAGAGAGAGGGGATGATAGATTATAACAAAGATGAGAGAAATATGGCGCTGAAGTGAGAGAGGCAGGAAGAGAGACATAGGAACATACAGATAGAATGAGAGAGAGACTATAAATGAGATGAGAGGAATAGAATGAAAGAGATAGGATGAGAGAGAGAGAGAGAGGGGGGGATGCGCGAAAAGAGGAGAGATTATGAGAAATGGGATGAGAGAAATAAAATGAGAGTGATAGAGAGTACGATTGTGATGAGAAAGATAGAGTGAAAGACAGGTTGAGATGAATAGATGAGATGAGAGTAAGTGATAGGATAAGGTGAAAGAGGGAGTATGAGGGTGAGAAAGAAAGGATGAGGGAGATAAAAGATACAGTTTGAGAGGGATAGGATGGAATAGACTGAATAAGAAAGAGAGAGAGAGAGAGAATGAGTGAGCGTGTCTCTCTCTCTCTCTCTCTCTCTCTCTCTCTCTCTGTGTGTGAGAGTGATGGGAGATGTGAAGAAAAAGAGAGTATGACAGAGATTAGAGAGATAGGATGCTAGTGAGAGTTCGAGAGAGATAAGATGAAAGAGAGAATGAGAGATAGGATGAGGAGATAGTTTGACAGAGAGAAATTAAGAGAATATAAGGTGAGAGAGATTAGATGGGGAAGAGAGAGAGTGAGTATGAAAGAAAGATAAATGAATGTGAGTGACAGAGAGAGGGGGTGATGAAGCTGAAATTGATGTGGCTATTTCACCACCATTGCTGGGGCACCGTGATCTGCTCCCCGCTCGACGTACCTTTTCCCCCCTGACGAGCTGATAGTGTCATTTTGATAAGGGTGAACAGTGTTAGGGGATGCGTATGCTGGGAGGTGGCGGTTTTAGACGCAAGATCGCAATTCTGTAATTGGGTTGCTGCCTCTTCTCGAGCGACATGCCAACTAAAAAATAAATCTTTCGCATCCCAATCCCTTCACCCACATATTACACAAACACTCCCTCTCGCATTTTAACCGCCACGCTAACATAGTCGGGTCTTGAAGAAATGTCCCAGTTCTCTTGCTCTTAACTCTGTCCACCCACCACAAGTACCACCCCACCCACTGTTCAAGATTTCTTACTTTTCTTTCTTTCTTTCTTTCTTTCTTTCTTTCTTTCTTTCTTTCTTTCTTCTTCTTCTTCTCTCAAGCTTTTAGTAGGCGATCATCTTATTGCATGAAATCAAGACGCACGATTTACATCATTTCATGCATTCTTGTCTGAAATGCCGACATGAAATACTTCCCTTATTCTTTTATTTAGATGAGTATCTTCACCTTACTTGTTTTTAGTGCAACGTTTAGGCCGCTATGTTCTTCGGTCTTTTTAAATGACGCCTGATATACTGAGATGAACAATTTTCATTAATCTCCATCTTATTCAAATCATATCTTCAGGTTTGTCATTTTTTGCTATAATTTTCGACCGATATGTTCTTTAGCCTTCTTAAAGTTGCCAAAATACTTGAATATTTCAGACCAGGGCCGATACGTTCTACCTCCGAACCGCTGACCAGTGGTTGGGATCCTGATTGGGGTCCTCAAGCACTGTTTTGGAACCCTCGCTATCTTATCAACATTTCTACCTACATTTATATTCGTTACAAATTAAACTAAGCACAACTATTAAAGCATGAAACATTTTTCGCGGATTTTGACGTCATTCTGGGCTCCTTTTTTAATACTAAATCCGAGAATTTGCTTTCCTTATGATAAGTGTCGAAATATAAAATTTTTTGCCCATAATGTTCAATATGATAAAATTATTCAGCTTTTTAACAAGAAAAATCACAAGTTGATGTTAAAAATTGTCACAAAACATTGTTGATTCATTTAAGACTAGCAGTATAACCCGACTTCGACCGGGTTTTTCATTACTGGGAATTTTGGGCGTTTAATTGGAGCAGTTTAAGTTTAAAGTCAGCCAACCCGAAAATCAATATTTGTAACAACATTTAAGCATAACTGAGACACATCCCCAAAGTGTGTGTGGGGGGGTAACAATTTGAATGGGGGGAGAGGGCCTGAAAAGGGAACTGTATAATAATGAATAATATTATTGTAATAATTTAAACTATTTAATTTTTATTAAAGTTTTTATGAAAGATATATATCCAAGAACAGATAATAAATAGTAAAATGTTGCTGAGAGTTATAATGGACAGGAAGTAGTGGAGAGCCATTGTCGCCAATAATTTGAACTCAAAACCGGCACTGATGAATTATCTATTAAACAAAAAAAAAATTCATCGAAATCGGATGAAAACTGTGGAAATGCATAAACCACATCCGATCACACACACACGCACACAGACACGCACACACACAAACACAGACACACACACGCACACACACAGACACGCAGACACACACAGACACACACACACACGCACACACACACATTTTGAGAATTAGATGGAAAGATCTATTATGAAATGGTTTTAATTTGTATTTAGATACATTATATTTATTTTCAATTTTTCTAGTTGAAATTTCACCTATATTGCATATGATCCATTATTGTACATAATTAAGTTACAATGAAATTTATATTTTATATGGATACAACCTTATGAAAATTGAGATGCGAGAGAGTTTGAGGACCCGTAGCATAGATTTTTTTATGTTTCCGACATTATACAGATCGTAATTTATTTTTGTTACTTCTCTTGAACTGTTTCGTGTGATACGTTTTTCGGCCTTCTTTGTTTTGTCGGAATGTTGAGATGAAGCTTTTTAATTATTGCTCACATAATGCTTAATATTTTAACTACGAGGTTTCGGCCGACATGATCTTCGGTTTTTTTACTGTTGTTTGAAGTTTTGAGTTTCTTTTTAGTACAATATTTGGGCAAATAGATTCTCTTAATTTTAAATGTTCGTGTCAAAAATCGAAAAAAAGAATATCTGCGTTTGATCAAACTAAAAAATGATTGCAATTAGAAAAAAAACCTTCAAAATTTCTATTCCTCGCTGCTACATGATGTTGCACCTGTTTAAAGGAAAGACTGATTTTTTAAAAACATATGCGAATTTAGAGCCAAACGGGAATCATAACAGTAAAAATGTCAGCTTCTTCACGATTTCTGATTCATGCTGTTTACGTAGCGATCGTGAAACGTAAAAAACTGTTTGAGGTTTGTAAGAAAAGCAACAATGACAGGGGATAAAATTAATTTAAAAAGTCGGTAGTGTATAGTGATTTTCTAAACGTAGCTTCGATGTGGCACAAGCCCGAAAGTATAGGACACAGCTTAGTGAGGATCAAATTCACTAGTTCTAGCAAGAGAAGCTTACTAATGGTTACACCACGTACGGTTCCCGAGTCAGAAGTTCTATTCTGTTTCTATTATATATTGATCTATTCAGACCAAACGGTTATAATGATATGATCTTAATTACCTCCCTTGAATATTACTCTCTATTTAAAAAAAAGTTAGCTAAACGCATAGAGTTTGTTGGCTGTCATTACGAAATAGTTTTACACCTGTCTTTATTGTTGACACTGTTCAAAATGACGGCGATTTTTTCACTCACTGTATATCTTAACAATTTTATCAAAATTGTTTAATATACAAATTCTGTTGTGAAAGGTTTGACATACATAATCAGACCTGACATAGTCCATACATTTGAATGTTAATTTTTTTATCAGTTAAAAATTATTTTAGTGGATACCCTTCTTTGAGTAGACGGTGCGTTTTTATTTTTAAACAGTATATTTAATCTCATCTACAGATAATCATATTAAAGTATACCTTCCCCATCTCCTTAAGAGAAACCGTCGTTAGTACCGATGAACTTATACCGACTCACCCACGAAGGTCATTGCCTTTAAGCAAAATCCTTGTCGTTATCGGTTCTCAAAATTTCATACCGCTTCAGTTTCGTATCCAAACGTAAACAAAGCAATTTTTAAAGAAGTAATGGATTTTTTTTTAAATTCATTAATACGGCAGATTTTTATCCCGGATAGCGTATAACTTTTAAGATGTTTTCTTCTGATGACATTCTATTTGGAAGAAATTCAATCAACTTTAGGTGTTTTAATACTTTTTTGCGATATATTTATTAGAAGCAAATCTTCTTAAGTTTGCGGCAGTTGTTGAGCCCCTTTCAGGAAGCGGGGTTTCGTAAAATGAGACATATTTGCATTTATCATGTAATGGAATTGTTAACAATGAAGGTCAACGAAGAATCCATTAATTAATTCATCACGTGATTCATTATTCATGTTCGACAAGATTTATAGCAAAACCTTCTGAGGTCGAAATACTTGAAAAATATGTCATTTTTCTTGCGTTCTTATAATTTTTTCTTTCTTTTCTGAACATAAATAATGGCGCAATTGTCCAAATGTTCTGTATGTCCAAGAGGCTTTCCGCTATGTTTTTGGCAATTTTCAAAGATTCGGTCAATTTCTACATAATTTATGTCTAGAAAAAAATTTGTAAGAACACAAGAAAAATAAAATAAAAAACTTAACCGAAGTACATTATCAATCGTTTGTAAAGAAACTTGTATAAAAGGGGATTGCTTCCCAAATATACAAATATATATATATATATATATATATATATATATATATATATATGAAAAGTGTGTATATAAATGTATATATATATATATATATATATATATATATGAATAAGTAATATATTATGTATATTATTATTTATATATTATATGCGCGGTACTTATTAGAAAGCGCTCAATATCAGAGATAGAGCTAACATATTTGGTTGGATAGATGTGAGTTTGTCACGCGATCGCAAAAGGTGAAACCCAGGGTCACAAACTCACATCAATCAATATAAATATATATATATATATATATATATATATATATATATATATATATATATATATATATATATATATGTGTGTGTGTGTGTGTGTGTGTGTGTGTGAGTGTGTGTGTGTCTCTCTCTCTCTCTTCTTTCTCTTCTCTCTCTCTCTCTCTATCTCTCTCTCTATATATATATATATATATATATATATATATATATAAATATAATAGTAAGAGTTTTAGGTGCCAAAATTGTTGGTTTATTTTCCGTAGTTTATAGGTGGAAACGCATTTTAGGCAGATAGGTTTTTTGTCGTAAAGTGCTCAATTTAACATGCAAAAACCAACAAACATAATGTCACAAACACACGCGCATAAACACACACACATACACACACACACACACACACATATATATATATATATATATATATATATATATATATGATAAAAATTATCCGAAAACAGTATGTAAGCGGGAAAAAAACGTACTGTATATAAGACCGTTAAAACTCTTTTTTAAAATTTTCATTAACAAAAAATAAGAAAGCAAGGAAAGAAAATATAAAAATACTAAATATTCAACTAGTTTTCACGAATTCCATCTGATATATATATATATATATATATATATATATATATATGAAAAATGCATGCGCATGTCATACAACTCCCACTTCGTGAGTGAAACATTCTCCCGCTGGGAGAGAATGTTTCTCTACCAATCTAGTCTGCCAGACAAAGAAAGACCAGAGCTGAGCCAAATATGTCTTATATTAGCGTTGTTAAATGACCGTGGTTAGAAATATTCTGCAACAATAAAACTTCATCTACGAGAACGAAGCATGGTAATAAACGGAACTATTACCATATTTGGGTGGTTGAACGACAGAATCAAGGATATTCCATAAATGCAATGGAAAATATTTTACAAAATAAGAATTTTGTATTGAATCAATTGATTTGTCTGCTGGTGGGAATGTTGGTTCACCGTGTCGTGCT